CTGCTGAGGGGAGCAGCGGGCAGGTCAGGAGAGGTCTGCCACACCATGTGGTCACCTCCAGGGCAGGCGGGAATCAAACTCTTGCAGAAGTGGCTTTAGCTTCTCAGTGCAGTGCTTTAACCCGCTGCGCCACCAGGGAGGGCCTACCTCTTGAAGTTTTAATAAACTTGAAATTGTATGAATCTGACTACAAATTTAAGTTTTGCATTATTTTAAAAAAGGCAAAATAAGAAAGTTAAATGTATATTGTAAATAGGATTTAAAAGAATTATTTAATCTACTTACAAAAAACTATTCCAGTATGGCAGCTTTCCTTTGCCTATGTTTTAAATTTTTTAAAAAAGATTTTATTTAGTTAGTTTTGCATATTTCCCAGGTTAGGCTCACAGAGACTTAAGCTCTGGGCCACCAGGGAGGCCACTGCCTGTGGTTTGCCAATGACAAATTTATCATAACTCCTTAAAGTAAAAGCATTCCAATGGTCAATATTCTATAAATGTATATTTTGGATACATAAAAGTAAAAAAGTGGACTGTAGAAAAATACCAAAATCATCTTTCTCTATCTGTTTGTAACAATTCCCTATTTATTGTAAAATTTTCCTGTATTACTTTAAGTAATGCAGGAAAACTCTAGTAGTATGTAGGATAATAGTACTATAGCGCTATAATATAGTACTTAGAAAAATCCATCTTTCTAATATGAGCTAGATTTCTGAAAGTATAATAAGATTTTACTAAATGACCTGCCTCTTAAAGCCCCTTCAAAATGATTATGTGTATTCAGGTTGCAAAAACCTAGTAAAAGTACATGATTTATACAGATTTGACTAGAATAAGAAAATTGGGAAGATAATGCTTATCTACATGAGTTATCACTGCTATGAACAAACTCTACTGGATGGTTAAGGACTAGTTACTATTAAAAAGGATGACAACATCACATTAAAATTCATAGTCAGGAAATAGAAGAAATTAGAGAAGTTACTAGAGCAACTGATGTGTATAAATCTTGATTACATTTTTAAAGTTAAGACATGCCAGTAGTTGTAATTCTTATACATAGTGACGTGGGTTTTTGTGGTGTTTAAAATAAAAATCTGATTAATATAAGTTATCATCTGGCATATTTCCTTAAACAAGGGGCTTTCCTTTCAGCAGATATGATAGCTAAGCAGTATAATTATGAAAATAAAGGACTCATCTTAAACTAAAGCTGACATTGAATCATAGATTGTATTACTTCCTTTAAAATTAGATCAAGTACAGATTTTTTGAATTAGGATAGATATTTTATTTCATTATTATTATTTTTTTTTAGGATGGATATTTTAACAAAAAGAAGCTGTGTTATGAAATAACACCAGACAGAAACCATTTGATTGTAACTAGAGAAAGACTGCCACCTACTGAAAAGATATTTTGTTTTATAGAAGGTTCTCCCTAGGTGGGACAAAAAAGACAGAAATTCAATGAATGGATACAATACAAAGGACAAATACTTTATGATTGCACTTCTATTAGATACCTAGAATAGTCAAAATCATAGAGACAGAAAGAATGATGGTTATCAATGAATATGAAAAGGAGGAAACGAGTTACTGTTTAAAGGAGACAGTTTCGCTTTAAGATGATGAAAGATTTGGAGAGAGTGGTAATGGTGATGGCTGTATGCTATGTATATGCATTTAATGTCACTCAATTGCACATTTAAAATTTAAAATGGTAAATTTTATGTTGTATGTATTTCATCATAACGAAAAGAAAATAGTAATTGCAACTTGGGAAAATATTAAGTATTAGTTATATTGATTTTTTGCATTATTAATGCTAATAATTTATAACTAGCATTAGCAATTTGTCACCAATTCTTTTTAAGATATGGGCCTTAAAAACAAATCTACTTTTTAATTTTTTTTACAAATATTTAGCTATGCATAGAAGAGCTGGGTGCAGGACAGAGGTGGGGTAGTGATGAGAGGATTTACCAGAGACAGAATAGGAAGTAGAACAGGAAGATCTACTGAAGACACTGCTAAGGGGAGCAGCAAGCAGCGAGACAGGAACGGTCTGCTTCGCCATTTGTGGGTTAGCTCCCTGCAAAATCGAACTCAGGCCAACTCAGGCCCTGAAACAGCAGTGATTGTACACTGCTGACACTTAACCCCTATGTCACCAGGGAGGCCCTGTACTTTTTTTTTTTTTTAAGATTTATTTATTTATTCATGCATGCATACAGATCTGGGGTACAGGCCAGAGGTGCAGGGGCAGTGAAAGGATTCACCAGAGAGAGTGGGGAGCAGAACAGTCAGAGCTACTGAAATACACTGTTAAGGGGAGCAGCGGGACAAGTCTGCTGCGCCATGTGGGTCACCTCCCGGGATGAGGATTGAAGTGGCTGTAGCTTGCTTCTTAGTGCTTCACTTTAACCCCCATGCACCACCAGGGGGGAGCCCTGTCTACTTTTTACATTAGTGGGTAATATATGGTTCAGAAATTCAAAGTAATTTAAAAAAAGGTAAATAGTTAAAAATGTTATTCCCATCACTGTCTAAATTGACTGTGTTCTTCCTTGCCCTTACTTCTGGAACCTCCCTTATTCCTCTGAGGCTTTTCCTATGGCTCAGTGATATGAGCTGCAAATAATTTTCCAAGTTTGTCATTTGTTTTGATTTTGTGTATGATGTTTATTTGACCATACAGAAGTGTGTTTGTATATAGTCTTATTAATCTTATCTTCTATGGCTCCCCCAGACTTTAAAACATAAAACAAAAGGATGCTCCACTCCAAGTATAAACAAGAAATTCATCCTTCTTTTTAGACTTTACATGATTTAATTTTTCAGTATTTTTTTAAAGATCTATTTATGAACAGAACTGGGGTACAGGCCAGAGGTGCAAGGGCGGTAAGAGGATTCACCAGAGACAGAGTATGGGGCAGAATAGGCAGATCGACGAAGTACACTGCTGAAGGGAGTACCCGGCGGGTCAGGAGAGGTCTGCCGCACCATGCGGTCACCTCCAGGACAGGTGATTGAACTCATGCGGAAGTGGCTTTAGCTTCTTACTGCTGTGCTTTAACCTGCTGTGCCACCAGAGCAGGCACAAATTTTTCAGTATTTTTAAAAAAGATTTATTTATTCATGCATACAGAACTGGGGTATAGGCCAGAGGTGCAGGTATGGTGACAGGATTTACCAGAGTGGGGAGCAGAACAGGCAGATTGACAAAGCACATTGCTAAGGGTAGCAGTGGGCACACAGGAGAGGTCTGCCATGACATATGGGTCACCTTCCCAGCCAGCGATCAAACCTGTGCTAAAGTAGTTGCTGATAGCTTGGCAGTGCTACACTTTAATGTGTTGTGCCACCAGGGAAGGCCTTAATTTTTCAGTATTTAAATCTCATATTCATTTGGCGTTTACTCTGGAATATATGATAGTACTTAATAAACTCTAAGAAAAATGGCTTCTTGGTTTCCCTAACATATTTAAAAGCCATCTTTACTGATAGAAGGAAAATATTGCTTTATATTTTCTGATGCTATTTCCTTATATTTTCTGGTACCATTCTGACTCAGCTTTCACCTGCTCTAAATTCAAGTGAAATCCATACTTTCCTTAAGATTGAACTTCTATCTTTTAAAACACTAACTAAATCAGCAATATGACACGTGTAAATGTAAGAATTAAAAACTGATAATTCAGGCCCTCCCTGGTGGCGCAGTGGGTTAAAGCACAGCACTGAGAAGCTAAAGCCACTTCCGCATGAGTTCGATCCCTGCCTGCCCCGGAGGTGACCACATGGCGTGGCAGACCTCTCCTGACCCGCCCACTGCTCCCCTCAGCAGTGTACTTCGTCGATCTGCCTGTTCTGCTCCCCACTCTGTCTCTGGTGAAGCCTCTCGCCGCCCCTGAGCCTCTGGCCTGTACTCCAGTTCTGTATGCACAAATAAATAAATCTTAAAAAAAAAAAAAAACTGATAATTCAAATGAAGATGGTACCAAAAAGGAAAATTAAGGATATTAAATTTTATTTGATGATATTTAACAACAGTTTTTCCATATTCATTTTCAAATCTCTACAATGTCAATATTTAACAACAGCAAAATAAAATAGAAGGTTTAACATTATATAGATATTTCAGATATAACAAATGAAAAAAAAAAAAACCAATGATGGTCTAAAAGTCCATCAGTAGAGAACCAATCAAATAAATTGTGACTCATTCTCACAGGGACTATCAAACAGAAGTTAGAAAGATTAAGGTAGATTCAGAGTAATAAATGATCTAGAATGCTATCTAAGGGACTTTCCTTAAAGGAAGGAAATTGAGAAAGACGGAATATTATCAATATTTGTGAGGGGGAAATACTTGTAATGCATAAAGAAAAAAAAAAAACAACTCCTGGAAGAACACAAGGTGCTAAGTGGTTGCCTTTCTGGAGACGGGGACTTGGGGTTGGAGTGATAAGATGGAGGAAAAAGTAGTTTTATTTCTCATTTATAGTCTTTTAAAGTGTGTTAAAACTTTTCAAGCCATCATATATAACTTTTATACACAGAAAAATAAATCTAAATTAATGCATACTTATAAGGATCTAAATGTGTTAATGCAATGCTTTGATATAAACATAAATAAGAAAGCAGAGAGAAAAAAGCATGATCAGCAAGCCCAGAAGTTACCTGAACTATGGTGAATCCAGATCTGAGAATAATATCTCGTATCTCCTCCTCTTTGTCAACAATATCTGGTTTGATAATGGCCAGAGTTTTTTCTACATAGATCTGAGGTGGAGGCATTGACAGCTCCATTTGGACTTTTCCAGTACAATTTAAGTTTCTTGACAGGTATCAGCTGTAATGAGATATAAGCTCACTACCCAAATTTAATGTGATTGTGATTAAGAACAACAGTAGGTGGGCTTTTTTTAAAAAAATTAACTTATAAACAAGTATTTTTTTTCTACACACAGCCTCCGAATAAGATGAATGCGACCCCGCATCTTGAGTTTCCAAATCAGCGAGGCCCAGGAGCAGCCTAAAGACCTTGATTTGCACTCTCTGGATCTGGATGGAAAACTCTCCATGCCACTCCTGCGGCAGGCAAGCAGCACTGCCTTGCCTCATCCTAATCCACAGGGACGATAACTTCTTTCCTGGTAGGAAAGCAGGAACCTTAGACCACAGCCTCTCTAGCTGACCATTTCCAAACTCACCTCAGCACTCCGCCCTCTTGTGCGACCACGGCTTGTTGCTAGGAGACATGAATTCCAGTTTAGGAACGGTGGCTACAGAGGGCCAAGCCAAGAAAAGCGTTTCACAGCCTAGCGTATCTTTTTAAACAGGAAAGGGAACCAGGCACAATCGGTTTTCTTCCTTTTTGGAATCTAAAAGCACTAGACAATTTCTGACATTTTCCTCATGATTTAGCTTATGTCATCCTCTTACCCATTTGAAGGGAGCTTCAATTATCTCCATTTTATAAATGATAAGATAAATTTATAAATCCCACACCATTCCCTTCAGGACGGAAGGAAATCCATGCAGAATACTTTTCCTCCAGATGCTGTCCCCTCTATTCCCAACTTCTGTAATAATTAAAAAGCAATCTTGAACTTGTGGAAACCATTTATTTATAAAGTTGTAATAGAAGTTTTAATCTAGTTATTTCTAAATTAAGCCTATGGGGGTTGGGGGGGGAAAGCGGGTAACTTTTACAGCAAACCTCAAATCCCTGTTTTCTTTGTATTATGTCCATAGGCACCTGTGACTTCCCGATTGTGAATTAGACATTCTTACTAGGACAGACAAGAAAGTAGTGGCAAACAAATACTGGGGCTCTTCTATGGGTTAGAATCTCAATGAGCAGTCCAAATTCCAGAAAAGGTCATAGCAGCAGGTCCAGGTTAACAAAGCAGGTTTTCTCTGTCTGGCTGGTTCTCAGTCCAGACTATTTAAGTCTCTTCTTTTGTCTAACCAAATACTCAGCACCTAGAGGGTCAAGGCAGATAGTGACTATGAATCTTAAAAGCTACAGAGCTTTGAATGCAATGCTATTCAAAGAGATTTGACTATACATTTTTTTCTTTAAACAAATTTCTTCTTCTGACTACTATGTCTTATCCCCTAAAAATGGGAGAGTGTAACCATACATGAATATCAATAGGTATAGCAAACAAAAAAAAAATGGATAGTGACTCCAGTCTCTGGCTTGCAGGTTTAATACTCTGATTTGAGGTTCTGGAAACAGAATCTGTCTCTTGATTTATCACCAGCCCCCCAAGAGCTCTGACTTGCTTTATTAGACTACTTTACTTAACTATCTAGTAAAGCTGACTTCTAAGGGTCAAACTTTCAGGGCCTCCAATCACTTCTATACATAAACTCTGGGAACATATTATAGTTGCTTCAAAATCATCTATACTTTTGGAAATTTCCTAAAATCAGTTTTCTAAAGATACATTCCTTTTTCTTGCAGCTCTCTACAAATGGTACCTGAATCTGCTCCAGTACTTCACGCTGCATCTCCACAGCCATATGGTACACATGATGATCAGAGTCATTGTACATCACAGCATTTTGGAACATCAGCATCAGGTCCCGTTGGAACTGAGCCATAGTGCGAATCCGTCCCTTAGACAGATTCCTTTTCAGGCTAGTTAAGTCCATGGGCCTACAAGGGGCCAGGAAAAGTCAAAAGAAATCACACCTTCTTGGAGAACATCAAGTGACCTATCATGCTCTCATAGAGTACTGCTCTTAATGAAAACAGTAGTAAAGACAATAATCTCCATCGTATAATAAAATAGTAATAGCAGCTACTGTCTGCTACATTTAACTGTTTATGATAGACCAAGGGCTATAATATATATTTTCTACATTAAAGTGTTTAATCCTTTCAAGAAACGTGTAAAGTAGGTACCTCAAGAAACGTGTAAAGTAGGTACCCAAGCTAACTACCTGATAACAAGCTTAAATCTCAAGAGGCTAAATATATTCCCAAAGTTAACAAGCTTGTATTCCATTTCAGAGGCAGCCTGACACCAGAGCTCAAAGACCCAACTCCTATTCCACTGTAGGAGGAATGCTGGTCCCAAGTGCCAAAATTGTATAAAAAAATCTTGAATGATCACTTCACAATAATAGGCATTTAGTCTACTTCTTTTATTGCATAAACAAAAGCTATTTTTTTTCTCCTTTCATGGAGAAGGAAAGAATGAAAATCAGTGAATTTTACGATAAGTAATTATTTAATGAGACACAAATAAGGCATATATAAGACACAGTGCAGAAAAAAGACTGAAATGGGAGGAAGAATCTGGGGTTTAGTTCTAGTTCTGCTATCACTTAAGATCACAGGAAAGTCATGAAGCCTTAGTTTTCTCATCTATAGAATGAAGATATGTCTTTAAAGGTCCTTTCCTGATATTTTCTATCCTGTTAACACACTGGTTTATGACAGAATTTTAGATGAACTTTGCCATAATAACCCAAAATATTGTAATCAACCAATATTGGTAACATCCATTTGTATTATCGCCTTTGCCTTATCCGACTTGTAACCACCTAAATGAATATAGTATACCTTTTAATGTTTTTCTCTAAAAGAACAGTGTCAAAAACTATCAAAGGCAATGTAAGATCAAGATGAATGGATCATATATTATTTGAAAATCAAGAATGTAAAAAAAAAAGCCTGTATTATCACTCCCTGCAAAAGAAGACTGAATTCACCATAAGTTAATAAGCTTGTTCAGCTTTAAAATATATCCTGAGTATATAAGTAATATAAGTAAATAAATAAATAGGTAAGAAATAAAGTATGGAAAAACATATATAAAAGCAACCACCTCTACTTGACCCCTTTTTAACTAACCTTTTCACCACATCCTTGTATCCTGGGGCCTGCCTTTCTGACACAGGTTTCAGAAATGGACTGCTAAACCTGTTAAGGGACAAACCCAGAGAGGATGAATAAACCCTGGAATCACTCTAAATGAGTGGCTGTGAACACCAAGCATGGCTTAGAGACCTGCCTGTGACTGGCAATCATCTTCCAGACTGGCAAAAGAGTCTTCTTAAATAGCAAGTGATCCTGAACAGGGTCAGCTGGACCTATATCAGACCTATGGAATAAACCAGGGCAGAAAAAGAAAAGTAACTCTACAAATGGCATTTTGTCTCCCCTAGGTGCGTAGTGAAGTTTTCTCAGCATATAGTGCTCCTAGTTAACATATAAGGGGTAGACCTCCCTGGTGGTGTAGGGGTTAAGTCTGAATTTGATTCCTGGCTAGGGAGCTCTCCCACATAGAGAATAGCAGACCTCTCATGTCTCTACAGCTGCTCCCCTCAGCAGTGTATTTCAGCATATCTGCCTTTTCTGCTTCCCACTCTGTCTCTGGTGAATCCTCTTACCCTTGCACCTCTGCCTATACCCCAGTTCTTCTAAGCAAAAATAAAAACAAATTAACAAACCATCTAAGGGGCTGTACAAACAGAAACAAAAACATGTTTAACACTTAGACCCTTAACTCTTACTCATCACTATTATCCACTGAATTAATGACATCCTTATAAAGTACTATAAAGCTAAATAGTAACACAGGCTACTTGTTCATGCCTTTTTTGATTCTTCCTGATTTGACCCTGAGTACCTTTAACTCTAAAGAAGGTACTACGCTACCAAAGTAATTTTTGTTCACTGATGTTTCCCAAGTTGAGGTACCCAATTAAGTACTAGATAAATGAATTTAAGCCCATTTATATGAAACAAAATGTCTTAGTAATAAATTTCTCTCCCATTTTTCCAGAAAATAATGGGTCTCACATTCTAAGGGATTTTCTTATGTTTCGTCTGAATGCTATACAAATTAAATTTTTTATATTTTCCTATGTATGTTAATTCTTAAAATACTTTGTTTTGGTAAACATTAATTTCTTCTTATGGCCTACTTTTGTGGGCTATATTTTCTAATTAAACTTTTCTTCAAAAGTTTCAAATAAACAAACCTGTTTATTTTTTGTTTTCTGATTTTTTAAAGATTTATTTATACATACAGAACTGGAAGTACAAGTCAAAGGTGCAGAAGGGGTGAGAGGATTCACCAGAGACAAAGTGGGGAGCAGAACAGGCAGATCGACGATGTATGCTGCAGAGGGGAACAGCAGGTGGGTCAGGAGAGGTCAGTCACACCATGTGGATCACCTTCGAGGTGGGGATCTAACTCTCACTGAAGGCCAGGTTGCAGTGCTGTGTCCTAACCCATTGCTCCACCAGGGAGGGCCCTTGTTTTATAATTTACCCAGCTGGAAAGTTTTCTATTTACTCCAAGTTAAACATCATGTTAAAATTCCCACTTATAAACAGCATTATTCCCCATAAATGGGTTTCTTTATAACTAAGCTTTCACACTCATGTTAACTAACACATCGTATTGTGTGCATCCATTTGAGCATGACTCAAATCTCATTTTCTTTCTCCAATTTGAGTTGTTTCACTAACATAATTTTCATGATGCAATTTTTCACCTGAATCTAAATTACATTCCACAAAAAATCACCTTATCCTTAAGGGCAAAGCCCTTTTAAAGTCCAAAACCAACTTTTTCCTTTGCTTCTGAATAGAAAGAATAACAGACCTGCTGACTGTGAGTGGTGGTGCTCCAAAGGTTTTATTTCTCTTTACTCCTGAGAGTCATTACAGATAGAGGGAAAGGGGGAAAATAAGGACCTCAAGAATGTCTGTCATTCAAAGTAATCTTTAAATGGTAGTACAAGATGGTAATACAAGAACTCATCCTTTCTATTTCTCCTGAAACTATATGACCAACCAGACTCACTTAGTTCTACTGCTTTCTAATAAGACATTTTGTTTTTTTTTAAAAGATTTATTTATGTATACAAGATCTAGGGTACAGGTCAGAGGTGTGTGTGTGTGGGGGGTGGACTAACTAGAGACAGAGTGGTGGACAGAACAGGCAGATGGACTGACATAAACTGCTGAGGGGAGCAATCAGTGCAATGGGAGAGTTCTGATATGCCATGTGGGTAATCTCCCTTGTTGGTATCTAAATCATACTGGAGTGCCTGTAGATAGCTTTATCATGCTGCAACTTAACCTCTTATTACCACCAAGGCCCTAAAAGATTTAATTTTTAACTTAAATTCTAAGAGCGTGAAATTCACCATTTGAGACACTGAAATGTTCTAAGATCGTATGTCCCAGTTTAGAGTTATCCAGTTTTTTTCATAGTCATCATATGCCATCTTCTC